TTTCTCTCCGATATCCGATCCAGTAATTTACGTCAGTATCGGACCGATACCGATACGTAATATCGGATCGGTCCATCTCTACTTTTTATAGCAGATAACCTTAAAAATATTCTGCAATTTTCCATAATTTTAAAACATTTAAATTTCTTCAGTATTGAACAGCAGAAATTAGGCTTTCTTGTCCAAGGACATTTAAGTTAAAAAAAAAAGAAAAGAAAAAAAGACAGCAGCCGACAGCGCTGTAAACAACGCTAGACTGGTCGGTAATAAGCGAATGAATAATGCCAAAAACAGAGATTTGAGATGGGGAACTGTTCTTGAAGTACACAGAGAGAGAGAGAGAGAGAGAGAGAGCTGTGCATGAAGTGTGATTTTTATCGTGGTGGAAGCAAAACAGCAAAAGTCAGAGGGAATTCATGACGATGTTTATCAAATGTTAAGCATAGTTTGCTGCTTCTTTTGCTGCTGGTTCAGTGAATTTTGGTTGGAGAGAGACAAAACCTGCAGCTCAGAATCTGAGTGAGTGCATGAGTGAGTGTACAGGCTGTCAGGTGAGAAACCCAAGAAAGAGAAAGCTGATTCCGATGTGTCTGTGCTCTGTGTTTACTTCTTTGTGCAGAATCTGTGTACCTGCACTAGTTTGCTGTATTTCATATGCTTTTTGTCTTCTGTATATATACACACGCAAATGTGTGTGTGTGTGTGTGTGTGTGTGTGTATAGATAGATAGATAGATAGATAGATAGATACTGCGCATACTGGGATCTGCTGGAGCCAATCGGCAAGCTTGGGAGTCACTGCACCTAGCGCTCTGATTACCACTGGGACCACTGTTACCCTCACCCTTTTTTATATATACGTGTGTGTTTGTATGCTTGTATAAACATTTGTATATACAAGCATATAAACACATGCATGTGTGTGTATATATAGATGTCTTATAATCTTTTTATCTCATTTATTTTACCAACACTTGGTGTCTTTTAAAAGTGCTATACAAATAAAGCTGACTTGACTTGACTTCTTTCAGTACAGGCTAATGTCCTAATCAAAATGCTTCCAAACCACAGCGATTCAATATATGTTGCCTGTTTCACTTCTTAGCTTGTAAGTTCACCACATTTGGATGCAGAGAGAGTTTGGTCTGCAGCCCTGGTGAATTGTGAGTGGCTGATAATTCCTAGACCCGGGGAGGAGTATTTCTGGTCAACTCATGAAGGAAGAAACCTTTTATTTCTGATCTCTACCGCATAGATACTTGTTTGTATGGTAAAGAAAAAAACTATTCTGTTTGCTGCTTCACATTACCTTGTTGCCTCAGTCAGCTTTTCACTGAGAGTATGTATGCATATGTGCCTGTGTCCATGCATATGTGCCTGTGTCCATGCATATGTGCGCTTAACTTTACATGCTGATAACATCTTTCTATAGATGCATAAAGGTTTTATGACCAGCAGGCTTGCCAGCAGGACTGTTTCTCTGAGTTACATGTTAACCTATAGCTGTGTATTAGCAAGGTCAGACAAAGCAACATTATCTGTCTTTCCAGTAGAAGTTGCTGGTTGCCGTTTGCCATGTATTTCAAGGCTAATTAGCCTGTAATAAAAAGCTAATGACAGGGTGTTTAGAGCTGACAGTAAGTGAGACTTCTCTCAAGAATGATGCTATTTTTCAGTGTGGCTGATGTGGTGTGTGTGGCAGACATTTAGCTGACACAAGCTTGTGGGATTTGCTGGTATAGTAACAACATAGCAATTATGCAGCAGAATGATGAAAAATTATTTTAAGCTCGCATTGTTTACAGTGTTTATAAGAAGATCTGAAGAGATGGAAAGTTTGATGAATAATTATCATTTTGAAACTTTTATATCCTCAGAAACCACATCTGTCCAACAATGACAAAATAATATCAAATACAGCTCAGAACTGTCAACTGTTT